ATATGAAAAAGAAAAGACTACATATCTAGAGTCACTACAGAAGATCACAAAGCTACATATATTAGACAATGAAATAATTTTAAACATTGATAATTTGTTAACCAGAAAATGCAAGCAAAACATCAAAATCACAAAATGGTTCAGTCATTTGGTTCCTAATGAATTTAGCAAATAATTTTAATGGAAAAACGAATCTAAATTGACAGTAATTTAAACATTTCATGGCAATGGAAAATCACCATTGAAACCACATTAACAAATTAGAAAAAGGAACAAGATGATTGATCAAAATTTAAAGACAAGAAACAGAACCCAGAATATCATTCTCCAATAACAAGAAGCCAAACAGCACCCAAATCTTGCGTAAGGAAATAAAAGGACCTCTGATGAAAAACCCAGAAAGTTGATTTGAGAAATGAAGAGAATTTGGGAACTTTGAGGCAAAACAAAGATTACCCAAATGCAAAACTGACAAACCACAGAGAGAATCCTTACTGTTTAAGGTTTATTGGTAAAAAGCAGGAGACGGTGAAGACTGAAGAGGGTTGCGTTATATCTTTGCCTTTTCTAAAAAGGTGAAAAAGACTTTTGCTTTTTGCAATTTTGCACTGAAGAAGGGATGAACACAAATTGGTTGTGACAGTGAAGAAAACACAACAGAAGTACTGAAACAGTTCTGCACAGCAAATGCGTGCCCTGAAGGCTTCAAGTTCACGCCCTGTTCCTGTGTACTCCGCCTTGAGAATTTCGAGCAATAGCATGAAGGCACGTCAGATGAAAAAAGGGGCAAAAAAAAAAAAGGGGTCTTGTTGTACATTGGGGGACTAGGCGGCTTAACGAGAAAGTTGAAACTTAAAGGTTTTAAAATTAAAACCCATTTTGGTTCCCTCAACTTTTGTATATAGCTCATTTTTAGTCCCTTTACTAAAGAAATTTATTTTTTCAGTCTCTAAAGTTTAATTTTTTGACCTCTTTTTTGTTCCTCAGTTAACTTTTTGTTGACATGGCAAGTTAACTAAAAGAACTATTTTGTTTTTGATGAATCGATTTGGATTGTTTGCCTGAGTTCTCTGAGAACCCCAAACCTAGATTTGATGAATTGTAGATGGGTTTTAGTGATCAGATGAGAAGGAGAAGATAAGAGAGAAGGAGAAGAAGATGGAGAGGTATATGAGTAATTTAATTTATAAAAAAATATAAATTAGCTATGAGATTAATATTCATCGGTCAAACTTAGAAAAAATATTTTAAATTTATATTATTTTAATGAAGTACTATAAA